GATTTACAGCCTCAGAAACCCTGTACAGAGTTGCTATGAGTCGGAATTGACTCACAACACACAACCACCACCTCAAGGTGAAAGCAGAGCCCTGGTGTGGTGCTGTAGGATAAGCACTGGACTGCTAAAATGCAAGGTCAGGAGTTTAAACCTATCAGCAGCTTTCAGAAACCCTATACAGGATGGTTATGAGTTGAAACTGACTTGATGGCACACAACAAGAACAAGGTGAAAACAAGGGGCTCTGGTGGCATGACAGTTAAGAGCTCAACTGCTAACCTAAATGGTTGGCTGTTTGAAACCAGCAGCTGCTTGTAGGAGAAAAATGTGGCAGTCTCCTCTTGTAAAGATTATAGCCTTGGAAACCCTATAAACAATTCTACTCCATCTATGTTGTTTTTGTTGTTAAATGTCTTCGAGTCAGTTCTGACCCCTAGCCACCCTGTATAGGGTTTCTGAAGCATGGCTGGTGAGCTTGAACCGCTAACCTTGCCGATTTTGTAGTTCAATGCATTAACCAACAGCGCCACAGCAGGACTGCCTCTGTAGGGTTGCTATAAATGAGAATCGAGTCAACGGCAATGAGCTTGGAATTAGAAGGTAAAAGTGCATATACCTTCAGCCTCAGCAATTCTAATGGGGCATTTTATCTATTTTCATTTCAATGTCCAGTTTCTGCACTAAACTAGCAGTTAATTCATAAGCATGTGTTAATATATGGTTGTTCCACATTCGGTCAGGTGTGTATTATCCCTAGTTACATTGCATCATTTTAGAAATGGCTGTATAAGCAGACATTACAGGAAAATCAGTAATGTATACATCAGGCAATTACTTCCAGGTCAGAGAAATAACAGTCTTTGTTTTCATGGCCTTGGCAATACAATCAAATTGTACCAAATCCTCAAATACTTTTCTGGGCATAAATACTTTATTCAAAGGATATGTAGATAGTATTTATTCAAATGATAGTAGAAGAAAGAAACAGAACAATCTGGATCCTTTCTGTCATTATTCTGTGCCTTTTCACTTTGAACTTTGTGTGAATGTTAATCCACCAGCCCTTTTCTTCATCCAGCGTTTGGCATCTTGTGGATGTATTTGAAAAAAGCTAGCCTGTTTCTAATGTCAGGATAAAAAGTTCAACTTCAAAAAAAACGGAAGAAAAACTGAAAAGATGAATGAAGAGCCAGTTAAATTTTACCACATGTGAGAATAGAAAGAAGAATCTATGCACCTGCAAGTGTGAGTAGCCATGATTTTTTTCAGAAGCTGAATGGAATTAACTAGAACCCTGGCGGCACTCACTAACTGAAAGGTTGGTGATCTGCTCCCATAAAGGTTATAGCTAAGGACATTTATAGATCAGTTCTGCTCTGTTACTTGGGGTCCCTATGAGGCAGAAAAAATTGAGGGTACCAGGGTAACTATGAGTCAGAATCAACTCGACAGCACTTAATAACAACTACTACAACAGTATTTTATTAATGATATTTGTATCTAGAGTCATAAATCAAGTTGGCTTATAATTGTTTAATACTTTTCTTGTCTTATTGTGCATAAAAGTTATGTTGTTGTTGTTAAGTGCCATTGAGCCAGTTCCAATACATGATGACCCTGTGTAGGGTTTCAAACACTGTAAATCATAGTGGGAAAGTTCAGCTGGTGGGCTTTAACCACCAACCTTGTGGTCTGCAAGTAGTGCTTATCCTACAGAGCCATCAGTAAAGGTTATGACAACTTTAAACTAGTTGGTTAGTTTCCTTACATGTTTTTTTTCTTACATGGTCTGCTGTTTGGTAAAGCTTTTCTGTAAATCCATCTGGCTCTTTGACTATTTTGTACGTTGGTGTGATTAAGGATTAAATGTCAATAGTTGTTGTTGTTGTTGTTAAGTGCTGTTGAGTCAGTTCCGACCCACAGCAACCCTGTAGAGGGTTTATGAGGAGCAGCTGGTGAGCTTGAACCACTGACTTTGCATTCAAACCAACTTTGCAGTCCATTACAGTAACCCACAGTGCCACAACAGGAATCCAAATTTCAATATACTCAATGTTATTGACCTACTTAGGTGTTTTCTTTCTTTTGAATCGAATTTAATAATATTTCCTAATATAAACCTTTTTGAAGTTGGCATAATGGCCCTATTTATTAGATTTAAAAAATATGTCTTTAAACAGCACTAGTGGGGAAAAGGTAGCGTAGTGGTTACGAATCGGGCTGCGGACCTTAAGGTCAGTGGTTCGAAACTACCAGCTGCTCCGCAGGAGAAAGATGAGGTTTTCTACTCCCGTAAAAATTTACACCCTCGGAAACCCTGTACAGGGTCACTATGGGTCGGATTCGACTCGATGGCACTTAACAACAACAACAAGTGGGGAAAAAAAACTCAAATCACCAAAAGCAGCCTTAGTCTAATAGAACAACTAAGTAAAAGCTTTGGGCATCAAAATTAGGGGGTGAATCTGATATTAAGAAAAATTGCTTAGGAAAAATATGGTTTTCAATTGACTTTGTTGCACAGAATTTTAAGGCTCAGATTTGTTTTTATTTTGAATCACTTTTAGGTCTCTGGGATTGCCAGATTTAGCAAATAAAATATAAAAATGGCATGCAATATTTAGGGCATGTAGTTTTTGTTGCTAAGTGCCATCGAATTGGTTCCAACTTACAGTGACTCTATATAGGGTTTCCAAGGAGTGGTTGGTGGGTTTGAACTGCCAACCTTGTGGTTAGCAGCCACATCAGGTTTCCATTTAGAGTATGTTGTTGTTGTTAAGTGCTGTTGAGTCAGTTTCAACTCACAGCAGACTAGCATAGGGTTTCCAAGGAGCAACTGGTAAGTTTCAACTGCTAACCTGTGTTTCAAACTGACCTTGCAGTCCTGTGCTTATCCTACAGTGCCATACTAAAAATCAAATTCAGACTTAATTGGTGTCTTGTGTTTTGCCTGGCAAGCCTACTCCACAAGTCTGAGAGAAGTGAAGTAACCAACTGAAGGCCCCGCAGTGGGGGTCAGATTTGGCATCTAGCCTTGTGAACAGTTACAATGAGGGGGCAACTACAAGTCCAAGGCAAATCCTCAAATGGTGCTTTGTGTCCAACTTTTGAATATTCCCTCACCAAATGTGCGGACCAAGGTCTAGAATGCCCAAGCTCTCAAGTCCATTAAAGTTGGTTTCTATAGACACACACAAATAAAGTCCTCCCTGGCACAGTGACAAATCCCTTGTGCATTGTCTCTGCTGCCTGCCACCTGAGACAGTAAATGCCCCTTTCCTGAATCAGCTGTCCCATGAAACTGCCTTTACAGTGCAATTATCTGAATTCCTCAAATCTCCAGTTGTTACAGAACAACCAGCACTTTTGGCTGCCTTTCTGGAAGAATTTCTTCATAAAGATTGTTGTTGTTGTTAAGTCCCTTCAAGTCAGCTCAGACTCACAGTGACCCTGTATAGGGTTTCCAAGGTGTGGCTGGTGAGTTTGAACCACTGACCTTGAAGTTCAAACTGACCTTGAGTTCAAGTGTTTATCCTATGGTGCCACACCAGGACTTTATTCAGATGGTAGTGGTGGTTATGTGCCATGGAGTTGGAACCTCAGGATTTCCGAGGCTGTAAATCTTTATGGGAGCAGAAAGCCTCATCTTTTTCCCACGGAACAGCTGGTAGTTTCAAACTGCTGACCTTAAGGTTCGCAGCCCGATTTGTAACCACTATGCTACCAGAGCTCCTTCCATTCAGATACCAGGAGGAAATTATACATTTCAAATGCATTGGCCAAAAGGTGCAGATGGCTAAAAGGCTTACAGATACCCAGACACAGAAAAGGGATAGGGACTAGGGCCACAGTTGCATTTCATATAGATCCAATTACAATCTCTAATAGACATAAAAATTAAATCTATCATCTTCCATTTGGAAAGTAGGTTATTGCTAAGAGAAGTAGAGACCAACTCTTCAAGTAGCCATTTGAAAAATGCAATTATTTGTCCAAAGCATATGGGATAATAGCCACTTGGATCTCAGCCATGGGCCCTGAGCAGAACTAACATATATTTGGAGAGAATAAAATGAAATTTCAGAAATCTAGGCTTGAAATTACTTAGTCTGTTAAAAGAACATACCTGTGCGGGTTTTAAATTTTCCTTCTTTCAAATTGCACACTTTCTCCCAGAAAATAGTAGCTGAACAAAGAAAAGCTGTCTTATTTCAAGGAGTAAGGAGAGGGATGAAATTGACAATATAGGAAGAGGTAACTACTTTCAATACCATTTTAAATTATTTTTTTATCTTTAAAAATGCTGTTAGGTCAGGTCCTGGCAGAACAAGGATCTATGTCAGAATGTTCCATCTCCTTCCTTCACTCCCTATGCTTCTTATTAGCACCCATGCTGTAATTTGCTGTGTCCTATGTTAGAATTTAACCAGATTTAATTCACAAAAGTAATTATTCTCAAAACATACACAATAAGTCCAAATTTCTTGACATAGACAAGTGAGTGCTCTCAGTGCTGCGTCCCGTTGTTAAAATATTTCAGTTTGTGTTGGTGTTTCACCAAGGGCTAAGTGTAGTGTGTACTTCTTTCTTCAATACCATTGGATCTTAAAGCCGGGAGCTTACAATTTTGAAAAAGAAATGGTGAAAGTAATCATACTCTGTTTTAATCTCATATAGTCTGTAATGATGTTTTTATTTTTTAAATGCTCAAAATGTAAAACATGAAATATTGTCAAATAATTGAACATTCAATGCTTACAAAGTTTAATTTTAAAAAACTTAAAAAAAATAAAGCCAATTAGTTAAATTTACATCTTGAGCTACTTAATAGAGGTATTTGTTGTACATGTGGTTTTAGTTTAATATAAGCACATTATATCTCTCTGGAAACACTTAACCTGAGTTGGAAATTAAATCTAAATGGAAGAGATTTTAATTCACAAAAGTAATTCTTCTCCAAATATACATAAGAATTTCCAACTGAGAATTTCCCCTGATGTTCAGGGCTGAGCCCCAGGACAGGAATGAGGGAAAACTCCTTGTAGGTGGAAAGCTTTGCTGAAGTCATAGGAGTGTACTTGTGGGCCCTTTGTCAGAGTGAGCTTTCTCAAACAGCCCTGGAATGAGGCTTGACTGGTGAGGCAGTTCTGCTTTACATCAACTATTCAGGAAAGAAGAAAGAGGAAACAGATGGTGATTCATTTTGTTGCATGGCACAGGCAGCATGATAGAAACACAAATCACGTCCAATGTTTCTGTATTAGAATTAGAAGAATTTCTTTCCCTATTTGTGGCTTCAGTGAATAGTAAAATTCACAGGAAGCGTTTAAAATATCATAAGGCAACTATGTTTAAAGTCAAAAAAGAAATTTTTATGTTATCATTTATAACAACTACTTGGAACAACTGAAATGCATGATACAAATCCAAAACCGAAGCGAGATAAGCCCTACATTTGTTCCCTAAAATTACGATCCATCCTCCTCAGTAAAACCACCCAGTTTACTTTAAACCAGATCCAATGTTCTCACAGTCTTACCTAATGGGTATATAAAGTGTAGACCATTAAATTTTCCCAAGAATTCCTAGGTGTTTGAAATAGCCTTTCTAATGGTAAAGGATTTACCCCTCAACCACGTATCTTTTTCATTCACTCTTCTCTATCCATCTGAATTAAGACTTCTCTCAAGGGCAGTGGAAGAGCAGGACAGGCAGCCATACGTACCAGGATAGCCACCAACATAAATAGGATTGTTGGTGTCTGCCGAGGTGGACTGGGTGTGTGGACTTTCAGCATGAACTGCATTCCCATCAACAATCAGAACCACTCGATGTTTGTTTTTGTTAGCTTGAAGTGTGTGCCATTTCCCATCACAGAGAGCAGTGGTAGCTTTGGGCTCATATGTGGCTGTTATCCTACCAGCACCATTGTTAACATGAAAGAAAAGCTAAACACACAACATATACAAGTAAATGCATTGGGGAAATTTTCCATATTTAAGAAACACATTCTGTTTGTATTATGTTCTTGGAACGGATGAAATCAGGGCATTCTGCTGAAAAGGAGGGCTAGTTATTAACAAATAAAAACAATTATTTTGAAAAATAGCTTCTTAAAGGGTTCAGATGCTACACATTCTTAAAATGCCCATAAGAGCAAATCAGCACGAGGGGGGAACCACGTCTGAGCCACTCTGCTAGTAGCATGCTCACCTGGCATTTGACCCCTAGGGTATGTTAGAATGGGGTGGATGGGACCTAAACACTCATATCTGACCCTTTGCTCTCTTTTCCTCCTCTTCATATTCACATCAAACCAAACTGCCTCTATCTACATCATATTACGGCCTCTCTACACTGTGGCTTATAGACAACTTTTCCCCTCATTTCTACCTTAAAAGAATTTTGAAAAACTTTGTATCCACAGGCACATTTCTGTAACATCTAGAAATATTTTTCAGAAGTGTAATAACTGCCAAAAAATGTAATTTCTTGTATATTTTATCTCTATTATTTATTGGCTGGTTATCTTTCTTTTAAAAAAGTTCATGGTTGCACAAGATTTATATGTATCTTTAATTTTTCATAGTCCACCAAAATATTACTGAGTAGCTTTATATTCAGCATAAGAATCCATCTTTTGTGAGGCTAAGTTTATTTTGGGTACCACTTGCTATGAACAGAATATCTATAGATTGTCAGAAATAACAAAATCCAGATTCATTGCCATCGAGTTGATTCTAACCCATAGCAACCCTGTATGGGGCTTTCTGGACTGTAAATCTATTGGGGTGCAGAAAGCCACATCTTTCTCCCACAGAGAAGCTAGTGGGTTTGAACTACCTGCATTAGCAGTCCAGTGCTTATCATACAGCATCACCAGGATTTCCTCACAAGGGAATGAGTACATGTGCTTTCATAGATGCTATCAGCTGGCATAGATGGCCCCTCTCAGTGGAACTATTACCTCCTGATATCTTGAAAATGGGGCGCTAATTTTCAGAGAAAGCTGCCAACACTAGGAGAGGTGGGGTGAAGGGTGCATGGAGACCTCCCTTTACATTTCATAGCAATGTCTTAGGAATTTATAATTAACCCCAAACAAAGAGTTAAAAAGATATTAAGGAGGAATAGGCATCAGGTGGACAGCTTACTCTCGGCTGTTTCAGAAAAATAGTTCTTTGTGTTGTAGGTGCAACTTTGCTGTAAATTTAATTTCAAAACGATAAGAAAAGTTTCTTTAAAAAGCCTTTAGGATGTTTGCTGCTTAAAAATACTCACTGAACATTTTCTCTACTCCATTAAAGTAGTTAATTGGATCTAGGCATATTTGTTGCTGTCTCTGAAACTGAGGAGTAGGGGGCCCTGTGAAGTTTAAGCACCTACCCTGCCATTGACAATCTCTAATCCAATGGCGTCCACCTTGGCACTGCTGATTCCCAGGAGGACACCATTTACTGAGGAGGTCCGGAACTCGAGGCTGATGTTTACATCTGACCGGACTTTGTAGCCTTCTTTGACTGAAAAACACAAGGACAGCACAGCGCAGAGTGAGAGGTGAGTCCTGTCCACGTACAGAGAGGCTGTGGACTGCACATTTCTGCTACTGACTAAGGTTCAGGAGACCTAGCTCTAGTTCTTCCTCGGAATCCATCGCCATCACCACAAACAAGTCGCTTCTTTGTGGTGATGTAAGAAAAAACGATGTTCTTACAGAATGCCTGACACATGTAATCCACTGAGAAAAGCCAGGCAGACTTGATTGAGAACAAGTGTGTCCTTCCAGTCACTGCTGGGTAGGCATTTGGTACCCTGCAGAGGTCTGCATCTTGGCTGGGCATCAAAGTTATGAACACTTCTATCTTTCAGCAGTCTGCCCTATGATGGGGGTGTTGTTGTTGCTGTTGTTAAGTACCGTCGAGTCGTTTCCGACCCATAGCGACCCTGTACAAGGTTTCCGAGGCTGTAAATCTTTACGGGAGCAGAACGCCTCATCTTTCTCCCGCGGAGCGGCTGGTAGTTTCGAACTGCTGGCCTTAAGTTTCACAGTCCTATTCGTAACCACTACGCTACCAGTGCCTACTCTGAATGTTGGGTCAACTGAGATGAAAACAGGTGGCCGTTTAAGAGGGAG